AAGGGACTGTAAGTATTATCCGGGTGGCTGGGACGGGGGGACTGAAAGGCGTGAGAGTGAGATGCGGGCTGAGCCTGCGAAGCGAGTGCGGAGCCTTTCTAATCACGGTTCCCATCTCCCGCGAGGGGATCGGCCGGTGAAGAGACAAAGCAAATGAAAAGGAGTGAGTGAATCCCCTGGGAAAAGGGGATGGGGGACGAGTAAGCCTAGTCCCGGGAAGAAAGGGAGCAAGGACATGTCATCAGACATTCCCCAGACAGTCCATTAGGAATAATGTTGGCAAATTGGTGCTTTAATCCATGCACCAAGGGAAAAGACAAGATAAAAATGGTTTGTTATTGTATGTTTGAATGGACCAAGGACACTATTAGACCAGACTCTTGTATCGGCCAAAATACGGGTCGTATGAGGGCTGGATTTGTCAGGCACTAAATCTCTATGTCAATTCTAAAGAACCGTTTAGCCGGGAAGAGAGTGAATGTGCCTTGTGCTGGAGAGGTGAAACTTGGTCCTGGGAAGCTGGGATTTTTAAATTAAAGACAGATGAACAGGATGGGGAAAAGAAGGAGGGGATAAAAAGTGGGATCCTTTAGCCAATTTACCCTCCCAACATATAATCCTGTGAATATGGCTGGGCCAGGAAACTCTGCGATGCAACAGGGAGCAGCCCAGAATGAGGGTGGGAGGTTGCCCACTGCCCCCCTGGGCCCTCTGGTGAAATGATGTTTGGACTATGTTATATGAACACTGAGAGAGACCTTATAACTCCTGAAGGGGGAGATCAATATGTGCAGAAATGTGTAATAACCATAGCCAATACCTTGGCAAAACTAAGAAAAAAGGGGCTGCTGGCCTAGATGATCCCATTAGATTTTAACATTCATAATGTAAAACCAGGCGATCGGGTACTGATCAAAATATGGAAAGACCACTCATTAACTCCTCATTGGGAAGGTCTGTTCCAGGTTCTGTTGACCACTGAAGCTGCAATCCGGACAAAAGAAAAAGGGTGGACTCACGCATCCCGAATAAAAGGACCAGTGGAAGAACCACACAAGTGGACTGTCGTCTCATCCCATGAACCTCTGAAACTAACCATTAAGAAAGCTAAGTAACCCTGTGATTGAAACCAGACCATAACGGGCAGAGGGCGGATGACTCTTAATAGTTGGTTCAGTATCAGCAAATCTGATAGGCTGGTGTGGAAATTCACCTGTAGGGTATTAGGGGAACCACTGGGAGACAGCCAGGCTAACACCAAAGCAGAAGCCGTTGTCAGGCCCCTAGAAAGCCACTGGGAGAATATATGGCTTCAAAAGTTCCAGAGATTTATTTAAACAAAGAGGGAGTGGAAGAAGATTTAGATATTCACTGTAGTTTTCCTCATGCCATACCACCTGGGAGTCATGGGAGGCATTCACTGCAATGGTCTCTTCCCTGGACTACAGCTTAATTTCTAGAGAGGCTGAATACATGAGTAGATGTTAAAATTAGCCCAAATTTTGTGGTTTGAGTCAATGCTTAACCATGCGAAGGAGTGTCTGTACTGACAGAGCTTGCAGGTGTTCATTAGCATTCACAATGCACATGTAGTAGTGTCCTCTTGATCATCATAGGCCATCACATTACAACCAGTGAGATGCTTAAGCACTGTTTTGTGGTCAGGACAACGTGTCTTCAGCGTTGCATCAGGTAACGCAGCAGTGACTGGTGACCGCTGTGTGCAGGGTCCAGCAAAGCCAGCGCTCGAGCAAGGCAGTCGCTATTCTCTGAAACCTGGAAGATCGAAGGGTGAAACCTTGTGGGTAGAAGCAGAGTCTGAACGTTTCTTTGAAGAAGAATAAGGTCTTTCTCATGACAGACCTTGTGGTTTTCTATGTTGCATAACACTGAAAAGTGCTATTTATTACAAGAGAAGAGCTGTCAGTTCTCTGTTAAAGTCAAACTTTTCTATGAACACATCCTGTTCTTTCTACTAGGCGAGATTGTTTTGTCTGTAAACATCACAAGAATTGTAGATGAAAATAGATCACTGCCAGTAATACAAGATTAGATATGATAAGAAGTCAACAAAAAAAATGCCCAGGGAGGGATCAGGTCCTGTTGTGGCCCCTGGGGCAGGGTGACAGCCATGGGCTCCTGCGGAGACCCTCTGTGCAAGCTGCTGTGATGGCCGAGCGGTGAAGGCGTTGGACTTGAAATCCAATGGGGTTTCCCCGCGCAGGTTCAAATCCTGCTCACAGCGGGAGCTTTTACTGGCAGGCCCTGCCCTCCTGTCCCCAGGAGGGACAGATGGACACGGACATGTCACCCCATGTCAAGGGACCCTGCGCACTCCCTCCCTGTCCCTGATTTCCCAGGGATCCCTTACCTTTAGGAGAGAACCAAGACGGTGCTCAGGGGAGCAGCCCTGCACCTCCGTATCACAAGAAGAAATCCTGTAGTAGCATGTTCACCCCACACAGCTGGGTCACCCTGCTCCATATAGCCTGTCACACTCACCCCTCTCCCTACAGCCCATCACAGGCTCCTGGTTGCCCTCCACCTGGGATATTTTTCTGCTGGGTTGTGCAGCTTTATGGCACTTGGAGGACAGGAGGCTGCTGCCACCCCTCAAAACATATCCAACTCTGACCTAGCCCCATGCACTGGGTATGGGAGCTGAACCCCAGGAGCTGCTTGAGGGTGATGCAGCCACCCAGGAAAAGGCTGCAACCTGCAGTGACCCCCTTCCCTGGCTGGGAATCGAACCCAGGCCGCAGCAGTGAGAGTGCTGAATCCTGACCACTAGACCACCAGGGATGAAGTGATGATGGGGATGGACCTGTTGGTGACCACCAACCAAGCCCTGAAAGGACAGGGACACTTGGGCCCCACAGCAGTGGCACCCATCCCATCTGGCCCTGACTTTGAGCTGTCCCCTGGATGTTCACTAAGGAGATTCAGTCCTGCTGGTGATGGAGCATGGACCCCATCTGTGCTGCTCTACATTGCCATGCTCATGTGACCACATCACACTGGGCACAGGCCATCCAGCTTCACAGACACAACAACGCTGACTCCCGGTGCACAGCCAGGGTTTCCCCATCGTCACCTCAGAAGAAGCAGAACAGTGTAGGTGCAGGGTGACTGTGCTCAGCTGTTTGGGGGAAATGGCTCTGAGCTCTTGTGCTGGTAGAGGGAGCGTGTCTGGAGTCCCCATTCCTACTGGAACATCCTCATTCCTACTGGAACATTCCCATTCATACTGAAACACTCCCATTTCTACATTAACATTTGCATCTTGTTTTTTCTAGGGGAAAACAGCCAGTTGGGGCCATCTTTTGACACTTCATCTGGAGCTTCAAAGAGTAGGTCATCCCAGTTTCCAGAGAGTCCTTCTGAGGGAGCAGAGACTTTTGACTTGATTTACCCCACAGAAGGAAGTGGGCCCTCATGAGCCGGGGTGCTCGGGGAGCTGCACTGCTGGAGGGGCTGGGCAGGGGTCCCAGGCAGCAGCAATGTGCTGGCATCACCCGGTCATCCTGCAGTGGTGGTGCTTGGGATTCCCCCACCCTTGTCCTGCGAACCACACATAGCCTGTTTCCTTGGACACGCACATTTCGCTTAGGAGAATAAGACTTCAGAAAACATTTCACTGTGTGCAGGCAGGAGAACCCCTCCTGGGCAGGCAGGGGGGAGCACTGCAGGGCTTCCCAGCAGATGGAGGAGCTGTGATGAAGTGGAGATGGAGCACAGGGCTCCAGGAACATTTCGCACAGAAGACAGCAGAGGGCCTGGTGCTCCTTGGATGCTCCTGTGTGGTTGGGAGGGGAAGGACACGGACAGAGAGAAAATCTGCCTAACTTGCAGGTCTCAGTGCACACAGAGTAGACAACCCTCTGGTGGCTTGCCTTGTCCCATGCAGCTCTCTAAAATGGCCAGTGCAGCTCCACTCTCCATCTGAGGCCAAACCCCAGCATGGTCCCCGCTGCAGCCTGCCAGGGACATGGTCTGGGGTGATGGTGGGACATCTGGGCAACAAAACTAGTGAAGGATTTAGAGAACTTGTCCTATGAGGAGTGGCTGAGGGAGCTGGGACTGGTCAGTCTGGAGAAGAGGAGGCTCAGGGGGGACCTTATCGTTCTCTACAATTACCTGAAAGGAAGTTGTAGGGAGATGGGGGTCGGTCTCTTCTCCCACGTTATGAATGAGAGGACGAGAGGGAATGGCCTCAAGTTACGCCAGGGGAAATTTAGGTTGGATATCAGGAAGAATTTCTTTCCAGAGAGAGTTGTGAATTATTGGAACAGGCTGGCCCGGGGGGGGGGGGGGGGCCCATCCCTCGGGGGGG